GCCCGGACTGTCCCTTCGCCAGCGGCCCGGGTGCGGCCTGCGGACCCCTGGCCTCAGCGTCCCCTCGCACGGTGCCCCGCAGAGCGCTGGCCGCTCGCTCGGACTCCGGAGGCCTGGGGGAGAGCCACAGGGGCAAAGGGGGCGGGCAGCGCGGGGCGGGGCCGCCGCCGTCCCTCCCTGGACTCTGGGACCGGAGCCCGCCGGCCACTCCCCTGGGGCTGGGCTCCCCGCTCACCCCGACTCCTGCTGGGGGCCAGGCGGCCGCACTGCCCGCGGGCTACAGGGCCGGCACGAAGCGGATCCTCTGCGAGCAGGCGAGGTCGGCCACGTAGAGCAGCAGGTTGACGTAGGTGAAGATGGCCACCACCAGCTGGCTGTCCCAGGGGCAGTCCCCGCCGCGGCAGTCGGGGGGCCGCTGGGGCTGGCCGTACTTGGGGTCGAAGCAGAAGACCGGCCAGGTGACGGCGGCGCTGAGGTAGAGCAGCACGGCCAGGAAGGTGTACACCGCCACCAGCCGCTCGAAGGGGCAGCCCACGCCGCCCGTGTGGCCCAGCACGCTCAGGGCCACCACGGCCACCGTGGCCAGGAAGCACAGGCTGTAGACGGCCACGCACCACTGGGTGGCCGCGTGGCGCCCGTAGCGGCTGTCGTGCGCCAGCGCCCCGAAGATGATGCAGGCCACGAAGGCCTGGACGATCTTGAGGAGCCCCGACGTGGTGGCCATGTAGCTGGCCACCTGGCCGGGCCGGGCCCGGGTCAGGGCCACCTCCGCGGCGTAGGCCAGGAAGAGGAGCCCGGCGAAGACGCTGGCGGCCAGGCGGAAGTCCCTGGCCAGGCAGCCGGCGGGCGGGGGCGGGCACTGCAGCCGCGTGAAGTAGAGCGGGTAGAGGACGGCGGCCGTGGCGGACAGCAGCGTGGCCAGCGTGGCGAAGGCCGCGGTGAAGTTGCCCCAGGACAGGTGCAGGCAGCTGTGCAGCCGCGTGAACTCGCAGGCCACCACCAGGCCCGAGAGCGCCAAGCAGAAGCCCCAGGCGGCCATGCAGAAGGTGCCCTGGGCGCCCTCGAAGCCCCCGCGGTGGGCCACCAGGCTGAGGGCCGCGCAGCCGAAGGCCA